ATGGGAGAAGTCATGTAAGGTGAAGAGCACAGTTTGAGACAGAAGGAGGGGCTTCCCTTTTTCTTTCTACCCCAGAGGGACCAGTCTCTGTCAGGGACCAGGACACTCTGCTCTCTCGCTGTTTTGCGATTGTCTGGACCTTGTGAGGAAAGTAACATGATAGAGAAGCTTGTGAAGGTTAAGGAGGTGGCCCTCTTCTCTGAAGTAAAGGGGAGCAGAACTAAATTTGATGATGCAAACCTTATGCCAGGCACATACACAGATCTCCTTAATCAGCTGCAGCAGTTCTGTGGTTGAAAGGGGGCAGTGTCCTTTAGTGGAAAGAGAATGGGATCTTAAAACCTGGAAGCAGTTAGTAAAAGAAAGAAAGTGAAAGTCACACAGTTGTGTCCAGCTCTTTGCGACCCCATGGACTGTACAGTCCATGGAATTCTCCAGGCCGGAATACTGGAGTGGGTCGCCTTTCCCGCCTCCAAGGGATCTTCCTGACCCAGGAATTGAGCTCGGATCTCCTACATCACAGGCGGATTCTTTACCAACTGATGTAAATTGAGAAGCATTTGGTAATGTTAGACCCAAATCCGGCTTGTACATAGAAGTTGAAGTAAATGGCTTTTTTCTTGGTGAAACAACTACCCAGGCAGGACGTGAGACTATTCCTTCTTTTCAGCATATTAGGTGTGCCTTGGCTTTCACAAGGGCGTGGTTGCTGCTTAACCCATTGAGATATTATGGATAGAGGTTCATGATGAAGCTGCAGCGTAGAGAAAGGGGGAAGAGTGGTGTGGAAAACACGCAGTAGTAGGAAATTTTGACAGGAAATTCAACACAGGCTGATTCATTTGATGATGTACCAAAAGTTAGGGATAAAGTAGTGAAAAGCCACAAATACAGTTTCTGCCCTCATGTCACTGACAGTGAAAGTTTGGCATTTTAAGAGTTGCTGTGTGTGATAGAACCTGTGAAAGCTTTCTTAAAGTTTTCCAGATTGGATAGCTCCGTATTGGGTTTCACTGAGCATGAAAGTGGTGGGGATTTTACATTCTATGTCTTCCAATGGTTATGTCTTTTTAAAGCTTGAAGGAACTCACAGAAAAGCAGTTAAGATTGCAAATCATTCCAAATGAGATGTTGATATTAAATTAAGCATACTTTCCCACATCCTCCAAGAATACAAATACAGACTGAAGCATTTTTCATAGGTGATGTTTGTAAGTGTACATAGTTTAAAATTGGAAATGTCTTTATCTCTTTGGATTAGTTTCCTGTGGCTTCTGTAAAAAATCACCACAGACTTAGTGATTTAAAACAACAAATCTATGCTTTGATTGTTCGGGATGCCAGAAGCCTTGAAATCAGTACCCCTTAGCTGAAATTGAAGTGTTGGTTGGTGCAGGGGCACCTCTTAAGAGACACAGTATGCCTTGTCTCTTCTAGCTTCTGGTGGCTGCCAGCCGTCTTTGGCTTGTGGCTGCATCACTCTGAGCTCTGCCTCGGTGGTCTCCCTACCTTCTCTTCTGGCGTCAGCTGTGTGTCTAGCGCTCTCATATGGACACTTGTAAAGGCACTTAGGACCCACCCAGGTTATCTCCTCATTTCAGGATCCTTAACTGAACCCTAGTCAGATCTGTAAAGACCTATTTCAAAATATGATTGCCTCTGTAGGTTCCAGAGATTAGGACGGGGATTTTTTTTGGAGAGTGACCTTTTTTAGCTTGATAGATTGCAGGCAGATTTTTGGACAGAAGAGCAAAAATTGGGTGGACAGAGGAGCCTCAAGAGTTGGATATGACTTAGAGACTAAACCTCCACCTTATATGGAAGAGTAGAAGGAAGGTTGCTTTTGAAATAGTAACTTTTAGATATTTGTAAGTATATTTCTCGTTAGAGTAGAAATTCATAGTGTATTATGCACCTTTTCAACATTAACTTGATTTTCAAATTTGGTATTCAAATTGGGAGGCATCGCCCCAAATTTTAGTACCTCACATGTCATTTATAACTGGTTCTTGAGCTACTAGTCTCTTAAGAGTGGAGGTTATGGGTCTGGCTCAATCCAACAGTAATAATTTTTATCAGGATTTGTTAAAACTGAGTATTAGGAAAATGATACAAATTATTAAAACACATTTTAGCAGTGTAGGAATTTTAATGACTTTGTGAGAAGGTGCAGATTGTAGGAGAATATGACAAATACACTATGATTACACTTTTCCTAAAATTGCTTGTTTGTATCAAGCTTGAAAATGTGTTGCAGTTGGAGTATATTTTTTAATTATGTTATACCTTCTTTTAGCTAATTTTGGACTGGTCATTTTGAATAAGATGAACATACAGTAAACAGTGTTGTTTAAAAAGAAAAGGTGTCAGACGTAGACCGGAAAGTACCAGCGCAGTGTTTTTCTGCCGTGAGCCAGCCATGAACATACATGTATTATTGTGTGTGTTACTTTTAATACTTGGTTCTTTCTTGAACCTGCCTGATTTTGGTCACCCTTAATAAAAAATTGACTCTTTTTTTCTAAGCATCTTAAGATACATATTTGGAAGTTTTTTTTCAGATGGTTCTATTATTTCTCGGGTGTGAAATTTGGTTGTTTACCCACTGAATTTCTCTTGGGATGAAGGGTTTCTTTGTGTGTGTGTAATTACTGTGCATGAGCTTCACAGGAACTTCTGAGGGTATTCTATATATTGAGGGGAGTTCATATCTTGATGACACTTTGCACCTTCCATTCCCCATTTCCCAAATGTGACCACGGTAAACACTGTTGGGCTGTTTACCTGCCTCCCACTTGGTGCAGTTGTTGCCATATTTTCTTATTCCTACCACGTGTTATTCCTACATATGTTACGATCTTGTGATTTTAGCTTCAAGCACATTTTAAGCTGCAGTTTATAGGTTTTATTTTAAACAATCAATACTCTTTTAAGTACAAGAAAAAAAATACTCATTTTGAAAATTTACCTACTTATTGACCGTTTCTGGCATTCTTCATTTCTTGCATAGATTTGTGTTTCAGTCCAGTATTGTTTCCCCTCAGCCTGAAGAACGTTCTTTAGTGGTTTTTGTAGTTCAGGTGTGCTGGCAAGGAATTGTCTTGTTTACTGCGCCTTGGTACCTTAAGTTTATTTTAACTGGGCATAGAATTCCACATTGGTGGTAGTTGTCACTGAGCACATTAATGGTGGTGTTCCACTGTCTTCTGGCTTCCATTGTTTCCAATGAGATGTTAGTTGTAATTACTATTTTGTTCTTCTCTGTCTATACTTTCTTCTCCGGCCACTTGTAAGATTTTTCTTTTTGTATTTGGTTTTAAACTGTTTACCTGTGACATGTCTGGGTGTAATTATAATTTGAGAGATGTTAGCCATGATTTCCTCAAATGTTTTTCTACTATTTTCTCACTGTCTCTTATGATTTTATTATTTTCTTTCTTTTTTTTTTTGTAGTTTCAATTTTTCTGCTGAGATACTCTGTTCACACATTAAAGAGCAAAGTTCCTGAAAGTTTTGGAACATATTTTCTTCCAATTCTTCGTATAAAATGCAGAGTTGTAAAGTTGCTGCTGTAAAGTTGTTTTCTGCCAAATGTAACATCTCCTCCAACCTTGAGTTGGTGTTCTGTTGCCTCTTTATCCCCTTGACTGTGGGTCACATTTTTTGTTTCTTGTTTACTAATTTTTGATTGAATACTGTTTTCTTTCTAAGAATGTCAGTGTTAGTTCTGCACGGCTGGTTGGTCACCTTGAGTTTATGTTTGGGTCTGTATTTTATTGTGTGCTGTGTGCTCAAGTGCTTAGCTGTGTCCGACTCTCTGTGACCCCATGGACTGTAGTCAACCAGACGACTCTGTTCATGGAATTCTCCAGGCAAGAACACTGGAGTGGTAAGAATATTGCTATTTCCTGCTTCAGGGGATCTTCTTGATCCAGGGATTGAACCCATGTCTCTTCTTGGCTCTTGTGATTATAAAGGCTCAGAAGTCCCCAACTCTGCAGTTGGCAAGTTGGAGACCCAGAGAGCTGATGGTGTAGTTCCAGTCAGAGTCTGAAGGCCTGAGAACCGTAAGAGCTGGTGATTTAAGTTCTAGTCTGAAGGCCAGCAGGCTCACAATTTTAGAGCTGATGTTTCTGTCTGAGCCCAAAGGCAGGAAAAGCGTTGAAGTCTTAGCTCCATGCAGTCGGGCAGGAGCGCGCTCAGCTGTGGAAGGGCCTCTTCATTCTCTTCTCAGCCGGCTGGAGGAGGACCGCCCCTATTAGAGCGGTCAGTCTGCAGGTCCAGATGTTCATCTTACCCAGAAACGGCCTTCCAGACACACCCAAGATAGTGTTTGACCAGTTACTTGTCTGGGCACCTTGGGGCTCGGTCACGTTAACATGGTAAATCTCTGTTAAAGAGTTCTCCCCACTGTGACTCCAGTCTCTCCCTGCCTGCTCATTGCTGTTCTTCTCTCAGCCTCTTAGCCCCTCTGTGCTGAGTTTTGGGTAGACTCACCTGGCCCATGGACATTCTGCTCTTTTTGGGTCTCTCTGCAGACTTTTGGAGACCCCTTTCTGCATTGCTCTCCTCTCTCTGTTGCCCTGTCCCCCAAAGATTCAAGGCGCTTCAGCTGCTTGAAAGTCTAATCTTGACCTTCAGATCTCCATAGGACCTCCTATTCTTTGCTTGGAATTTTGCTTCTCTCCACCATGTTGCAAAGTTGTTCCCAGAGAACCAGGGCAAAAAAAAAAGTGAAGAGGTAGTTTTCTTTTAAAATTCTGTTTCTCTGATTCTGTTTTATGGAGCAGGCAGTTTTAAACAGTGCTGTGGACCTCTGGGTGAAGGTCAGGCCAGAGGGGCGGGCTCTGGAGTGACCGGTGCCCTGCTTCCCACCTGGTGTTGGAATCGGGGCCACCCAGGCTGCCGCTGCAGGCCGCAGACTCTGCGGGTGCAGGGACGGGGGCTGGCACTCGACGCGGCTCTTCCGTGACTCGGTGCCTGCCTTCTTGCCCTTGTTTGCCACTGGTTCTCCTGCAGCATTCTCCTTACTCTTGGTTTTAGTCCTGTCCTCTTTAACTCCAGGGAGCAAGTCAGAGTCAGTTCATCCCACCCGTGAGACTTGCTAAATTATGTGGAGACGTCTGGTCACTGATACTTTTGTCTTTCACGCTCTGGGCTGAATGGCCTTCGTACTTCCAGATCCCTGTTCACCTGTTACTTTCTTAGAAGTTCTGAGTTTTCTCACCCTGTCTCTTACGTGGCTCTAGAAATTGAAAGAATTGTGAACTTTAGAAGCCTTATGCACATAAAGACTACAAATCCTGGTCTCATCTGCCAGTTTCTTGGAAAAATTTTTTCTGATACCCCCCTTCCTCAAATGGGTTCCTCTCATTGATCTTCTCCTGGCAATCTGTCCTTTCCCTCAGAACCACTTTCCCTCATCATGGGAGCACACGTTGTAGTCAGGTGTTTGTGTGATTTTGCCTGTCCCCGTGTTGGACTGTGAGCTCCCTGAGGGCAGTCACAGTGACGGTAACTCTCACCTATCTATACATTTCCAGTTCGCAGCACACATTTGTTGAAGAAATGAATGATAAATTTGAAACTAATCGTGTCTTGACATCGTCTGATTTTTTAGGATCTTATTCGTATGCAGGTATTTAAAATTACTCTTCGTTTTTTTTCAGTAGGCATAAATGATGGCACTTCTGTGTATGGTGGTCCCTCTTTTGACTTCTACCCAGCCACCTTCTCCGTCCCATTGTCCTGAAGATAGTGAAGATAGCTACGGCTGCTGAACGCATGTAGTTATCTTTCTGGACATTTTCCTGTGTATTTTCATTTATATGAAAATAAAAATAAGTATGCTTATGTTGTGCAGATACGTATTTGCCCATATTTCTGTGTAGCAGTGGAGTTTGAATGCTCAACTAAAATGGTAAATGTTATTTTGCTTTTATCATTGATTTGATAATCTGATTTTTTTGGTGTTGGTTTTACTTTCAAATCCTCTTAAGTAAGGCACATAACCTCTAGAACTGAGTTTCCACATCTACTAAAGGATTGATTTGGATTAAATGAAACTGAAGACCTCTTGCTTTCCATCTGACACTAAATTCAGTGTTACTGTATAATTCATCTGTATTAGCTGCCACAAAAAATGTGTTACTCTTTGTAATGTGAAAAAGTAGGAAGATCAGACATCTGTTATGACTTGGGCAGCAAGAGGAAATTTTGGGGCAAGTTGTTAAAATGTTCAATTTTTTTTTTCCCCCTCCAAGAGTGGCTGGAGAATGTTAGCTGCTAAAACTAGTAGGGGGATCTATCTGTCTTGTGGACTTTGGCACTAGGAAGTTTGTGCTTCATTGATCTCACGGAGCTAGCCAATGCCACCCTAAAAGGAATTTTATCCCAACTCCCTGAATTTCCATATCTCCACTGTACATTTATTATCACAAATGTCCCAGTGAAAAATTTATAGGAATCAGTTTATTTAGGTAAATCTTTGTTAGTGATTTATATAAAACATTTATGTAAAATAATTTCCCAAGCAGTTTTAACCTCTATCTTCTCTCCCCAAAGAGAAACAAAAGAATAAAAAAAGCAGATTTTTGCTTAGTCATGGTATGTTTGTAAGTTCTCTTGTCTTACAATATCACATCTTAAAAATTTTTTTAGTTAGCTGCTTTTGTCATTTATTTGATAGTTTAAAAAATTGTATTTCTGATACATATTTCATACATCACTGATTTTATTAAAATTTTTTTTTAGTTACTAAAAACCTCAAACATACGTAAAAGTAGAGAATTTAATTAACACTCATGTCCTTGTCCTCTTGCTTTCACAGTCCTTATTTTGCCCACCTGGTTTACTAACATTTTCAGTATAAATAACACCACATTTAAAAATATTATCTTTAGAAAAGAGGTTTAGTGTTTCACAGGAAAAAAAAAAAAAGACCCAAACGAGAAGCAAAAACTATGCCCAAGCCTTTTCTGATGATAGCCGTTTATAGAGAATTGATAATTCTATAAAATATTTTTTAGCTCCTATATCATTCTCTATTCTCAATTTTGTGTCTTTCACATGGAAATGAGCTAGCCAAGTAGTTTGTTTCATGATTAGATTGCAGATATGACTCCACTGTGCTTATTGTCTTGTTTCAAATATTAAAAAATTTTTTAACTCATTTGTTTTAACAAAGCAACCCCAAAACCCCAGGTTTTTGTGGCGATGTTGTGGTTTGACGATGATGACATTGTTTCGCTCCTCTCTCGGTGGCGGTGTTGAGTCTGCTGCAGTTGGGGAAGCTGGCCTCCTGGAGTGGGAGGTGAGTGGGCTTGCCCGTTTCTGGGGCTCGGGGCCACCATGCGCGTCCACTGTTAGCTCCAGTCGGAGGCCTAGGGCCCTCGTCCCAGCGTCAGTGCTGCTGTGATGGGCGTGGGGGGTGCTGGTGGAGAAGGCACTGGCGTTGGGCTTGGGAAATGGTGTCGACAGCCTGGGAAGGAAGTAGTTTCAGCAGGAAAGTGATACTTGGGGGATGAGCTTTGCCCTTTGTGGCTCAAGTGGACGTTGAAGGAAAGCACGTGTATAAAAGGAGATAGGGCGGGAAAGGTGGGGGTCTTCGTGACAGTGTAAAGCATGCCGGTGTACATAGGGACCACGTCGCGTGTGCTTACCGTGCCGCATTTTAAATGGTGTGTCATCGTAAGGGCCGTTTTATGGCATCATCCTCACTGTGAATGAGGACACTGGTCACCTGGGAGTTTAGAGACTGACGTGAGACCAGCTAGGAAGCAGTGGAGCTAGGAGTCAGGGCATGCTGGCTCTGGAGCCTGATGGCTTTGGGCCTTGAACACCAGGTTAAGCAGTGCAGAGCACTTCTGGGAGAGTCTTACTGTGGACAGTGACCAGAGTTTTAAAAGCTGGAGGGTACGTAAGGTTGTTCCGTAGTTGTGGCCCACAGCTAGATTTCATGGTGACTTTTCAGTTAGGAAGGAGGATGAATTTCTTGGACCATTTTTTTTCCTGATTATGAAAAGAAGATGCATATTTATAAAAGTTGTGATGTGCTAAAAAGTGTAAGAAAGAAAATTAAAAATAATCTGTTATTAGCCAAAGACATTCATTATTAATAATTTTATGTGTTTTCTTGCAGCATTTCTTCTGTGCGTTTTCTTTTTTTTTCCCCTTTTACTTTCCTGAGACTGTGCTTTGATGAAGATTCTTAGTTCTTTCTGATAAGATATAATGCATGATTTTTTTCCCTCATGTAATATAATATTGTAAGAACTTAAAGGCTTTGCATGATATGTGAATGTGCATCTTTTCTGTTAGTGTTGAATGTTTTTAGTATTTCTAGTTTTTTGTTGATAATGTGCTTTTGTATATAAATTTTGTATTTTTCATCATGAAATGTGTTTCTAAAAGTAGAGATTGAACATTAAGCAAAATAGGACTACAAGCAGAATGTGAATGAGTGCTCCATGAAGAAAACTATATGGGAACAATATTTTGTGAAAGCTTGTGTTCACGTATATTATGTATATAATTGATTAGCATGACTGAGTGAGATCCCTAAGGTTGAACATCCAGTCTAGTGAGGCCAGTGGAATTTGGAGTGTAGGTTGGGAAATGTTGACATTCACAAATCAGTCACATGTATTAGAATTGTGTTGATGCCCCATGTCAGTCATTTTTACCAAATTTCCATTGATCAAGAAAATTCTAGGTTGGGCCTTCCCTGGCAGAAGTGGTTAAGACTCCTTGCTTCCACTGCCTGGAGGCGTGGGTTCAGTCTCTAGTTGGGGACCTAGGATCCCACGTTCCCTATGGTGCGACCAAAAAAAAGGAGGAAATTCTAGGTTAAGATTTAGCTAAGGTTTAAAATTCTAGGTATAAGATTTTGTTTCATTACAAAATAACACATTCATTTTAGAAACTTGAGAAAATAAGAACAACAGTTTCCTGCAGCTCTTCTTTCTGGAGATAACTGCTGTTTGCATTTTGTGTGTAACCTGTCAGTTCTTTTTTTTTCTGCACTGTTACTCTTCTCTCCTTTTTAAAAATAAGTATATCTGCATGCTACTTTATAACCCACTTTTTCTATACAAGACAGTATTTTCCATGTTGTTTATTCTGTTAATCCAGTGTGCTTATTGAACATCTACTAGGATATAATAGAAATTTGAGACTGAGATTCACCAAGCAGTAGATAATAATGCTTGAGTAAGACTATAACATAAATAACTAACAAAATATAGTGGTCCATAGATAAACGGAGGTTCAGAGGAGAAACTGGAGTGTCTTTTAAGCTGGATGAGGGAGAAACGAGTTGGTGTTGAAGAGTGGCTAGGATTTAGGTAAAGATCAGGCAGAGAAAGGGTGACTTTTAGTGAGGGGAAAGGATTGAGCATCAGTGCAGATGGAGGGTGTCATTTTATGGAATGCCACGCTGAGCTCTTAAGTTCAGGTCAGTAAGATTTGACTAATGTTCCTAAGTCACAGATGCGTTAAATTCAGGTTGAAAGTTTGTGCTTCAGCGATGTTTGTGTACAGCAGCTAAATGTGTGATAAAATGTGATGAGGGGTAAGCTGTCCTTAAGTAAAATAGTTCCCAAATCCGGCCGTGCTCAAGAGTTTAAAAAAAAAAAAGAAAAGACCACCAGGGGTCCAGTGGCTAAGATTCCAAGCTCCCAATGTGGGGGGCTGGGCTTTGATCCCTGGTCAGGGAATTAGATTCCACAGGCCCCAACTGAGTGCTGTAACTAAGACCCACTGCAGCCAAGTGAATAAATATTAAAAACTAAACAAAACCTGGGCAGGTTCTTGAGTCCTCCTTGCTTCCTGAATCAGGATCTTTGGGAGTGGAGTCTGCAGTCTGGTTCTGGGAACCTCCCCTAGTGTTTCTGGCATACCATCTGGCCTAGGAGATGCTGAGTTTAGGAGGCATCTCTAATTGCGTGAAATAAGGACCTGGACCGGGGATGATACAGTAGGCACAGAGAAGAATGGAAAGGCATTAGGCATTTTGAAAATGTATAGGATTGAGCGAGATCATTTAGAGTAGCTAAAGAATTCAGCAGTTTCTAGAATGGTTATGGGGGGGGTGGGAAGAGATGGGAATGTGAGTTGTGTAAGGAAGGGGTAGGATGCCTTTTAGGCATAAAGAGTTGAGGTGGTAATGTGGCCCTGTAGCCAACATCCTGCAGCTCTGGACTAGATACTGAGTGAGCTGGTATGGTAGCTAGAGACAAGTCTGGAGTTACTAGTTAGGGCAAACCTCTGACATACTGCTTTTAGAGGGAAAGATGTTTAGAAAAACCAGTGGAGGGGCCAGACAGCGGGATTGGAGACCAGCACCTGGCTTTGGGGCCAGAGGTGCCAGTTGGAGGCCAGCTGGCACCCTGAAGTACAGGACCACACATTTAGAGTTGTTCAGGGCACAGCATTTCCTTTAAGTTCCCCAAGGTCTAGCACAGAAAATAAGTAAGACTCAACTCATTTTACTACTTTTAGTAATAGGCTTGCTGGAAGAAAATGTAAACTGTTAATAATAGTGTGTGTTTTTTGATTATTTCTGGACCTTGTTATTTTTCTGTATTTTTGAAATTCAAGGATAATTAAAAATGCAGTGGTTTATATAATTATATATAATTATATTTATAAAAGTACATATAACCAACTAAGTATATATATGAATGCACTTATGGAAACTATATATAATGTATATTTTATGAATTATATGTGTATACACTCACATATATATATGTAAATATTTTAGATTATGCTACTTAGAAAAGTCGGTGCTATCAGAAAGGAAAGAGTAAGCATAGTGGTTTTTATTGCATTTCTTAGAAGCTAGTTATGAGAAGGGATTGCAGGCTTTCAGGGATTGGGTGTTGTTTTTCCTAAGGTCTTCTGTCTGACAGATACGTTTTGTTTCTAAAATAAAATGCTTGCATGCGATCACCGCAGCTGTTCAGGTTAGGGAGGGAAATGTAAGGAGGAATGACACTATGCACTGGACCCCAACAGTGCTTGATTCTTAGAGCAGCACCTAAGAGCTCATGGGCACCCCTTTTTAATTCATCTTACGTCACCTCCGACTCTTTGCGGCCCCGTAGACTGTAGCCCACCAGGCTCCTCTGTCCATGGGACTCTCCAGGCAAGAATCCTGGAGTGGGTTGCCATGCCCTCCTCCCGGGGCTCTTCCCGACCCAGGGATGGAGCGCGGGTCTCGTGCACTGCAGGTGGGGTCTGAGCCATCTTTGAGCGGGTTCGAGCTGAGTGAGAGAGTCTGAGTGCATGGTGTGCAGGCGATAGGAAGCAAGCACAGCTGCAGGAGAGAGAGAATTTATTTTGTTTATGTCACTTTGCTTTTAATTCCTTTTTGCAAAGGGTTCCTGTGCCCAGTTTCGGCGTGTATGTGTGTGTGTTTCATGGGGGAGGGACTTTTTCACACAAGCAATCCTCAGATGCCAGCAGGGTGTCCGAAAATTCAGCCCAGTTCTCACACTGTCTACCCAGAAGGAGAATCAGACCTCACAGGTAAAGGGCTCAGTCCTGTGAGACCATCCACTGCTGACCCCAAGGCTGGCCATAGACTGGAGGTTTCTGGGACCAGTTCCCTAGGTTTTATTCATTGGCTGGGGTGGTTCACAGAGCTCACTTTTTGGAGCAGGGGGGCTGCCCTGTGTGGCCGGTGGGATCTTCATTTCCCAGCCAGGGATTCAACCTGGGCCCCGGCAGTGAACGCATCAAGTTCTGACCACTAGACTGCCAGGGAATTCCCAACAGGAGAATCTGTGTGGATTGGATGTGGGGTACACAGTGGGAAAGATGTCCCAGGTTATTAGGGTTTTAGTTGGGGAGACTGGGGTGTGGTGAAACCCATTGAACAAAACTGAGAACACAGGAGGGAGAAGTGGATTTTTTCCTGTCCTACCTGCTCTTTCCTCTTGTTTTTTGGTTGGAAGAGTAGAGTCAGGAGATCATAAACTCAGTTTAATGTGGGGCCTGAGGTCGACAACTTTGGAGTCCGTTTGGCTGAATTTGAATATAATCTCTAAAAGAGTCCTGTGTGGCTTTGTGCAACCTCACTTCTCTGGGCCTTAGTCTCTTCACTTGTGAAACCGGGTAATAGTGCTACTTAACTTATGTAATTATTTATGAGAATTAAGTGAATTAAAGGAAAATGCTTATGTGTCCATTAAATACAATATCTGTCATGTGCAGTAATAAGTGGGAAACGAAAATAACTGGGACATCAAGCTCAGTTCATAGGACTCTCAGAAACGTGGGCCTGAAACTTTGAAGGAGAGAGGTGGG